CGTGGAGTGCACGTAGACGAGAAAGAAGCGGCCGATGAAGAGATAGAGCAGCCAAAGGGCGTTCTTGGACATGTTGCGGTAGAGGTCCTGTCCCGAAATACTGCCATTTTCATAATCATTGAACTGATTCACAGAGGATCCAAACACCACTGTCATCAGTGGAGGTAGGATACCGGAGGCGATAGCAGCAATTAGGCCGATGAGCCGGAGGGCGTGATCCAGCGATGTAGAGTAAGACCAGTGCACGCGGAAGAAGAAGTGGAGCGACCCGGGCTTCTTCCCTTTACTGTCTTTTGCTTTGCCATCGTGAATTTGGTCCTTTTCGCTTATCCCGTTGTCGACTTGGCCTAGTTCGCTGTTTCTGGAGTTGACGGCGGTGTCTGTCTTGGCGAGCGTGGCAGGGGGGGCCGACTTGTCTCCGAGGTCTGCCATCTAGGACGTTGACGTTCGCGCAAGTGCTTGCGACCGTTCTCGCCAAAATTTCCTGTGAACAAAATAGAGGACTTTTGCCGAATAAGGTTGGTCGGTAGAAGCCCAGTTGTTAGAAAAGAAATCCAACCACGGCCGTAGAGAAAACAGGTGGGAAAGGGAGCTGCGTGACGCCTATCGGAAAAGGGTTTTGTGGACAACTGAAAGGCGCCCAGACAGCCTAGATAAGAAGAGTTGGACGAAATGCATCACTGTAGCATGTGTAACGGCACAGTATCTTCGCTTACGATACATAAAGATGATTCATGTTCATACAGGAGACGACATCGCGGATGCGGAAGGTCATTTCGTATCCAGATGATGCAAACTTGTGGGTCTTTTGCAGCATGTAGGGGTCCTGGAGTCTAGATCAAGTCCAATCTTTGAGCATCACGTTTTATTAGCTCGGTAAAGGCTTGATCTACGGTTGGTGCTTATCTTGTTGGTTGTGTACTTGGCCCGTTGTCCGCACTGTGTTCGCCATAAACGGTGGTTCACTGTAACAGACACTCCGGGGTTGGAATATAATATGTGTATGGGAGCTGACTTGGGACATGTGTACTCCGTATTCGTAGTCTAGACTCTAGAGTCTAGAACGCCGGGGGGTTGTCCATTGCGGGTCGTCCCGTACGTATCGTCTGCCAGGACAGGGGAAGGGCAGCAAGGGGGAGAGGTGCCGCGGTGCCGCGGTGAGAATTACATGTAGACACACCCTCACATACTATACCAGTTAGGACCGTATTGTTAGCCTATACAGGGCTAGCGACAGCTCAAAGATGCACATGTACGGCGGGCCTAGATTCGATTGCTCGGTTTACAAGATGTGTGTGAAACCCTACAGGCTTACAATATGAGGGGGCGTACAGCTATCTGTCCCTCGACAGGCGACATCGCAGTGTTCCAGCCATCGGTAAGGTATGTCGGTGTTGTGACCGCGGTTACAATGCATGAAGGAACCTTTGTATGCAGGGACCGTTATTTCCACGCGGGAGGGGGTGAATCCTCTTAGCCGCGACATGGTATGCAGGGACTTCCGACACGGGCAGGCATCTCACTTTCCGAGTATCTACATCAGCCATGCCTGATTCTGCTTCCACAAGTATCACTACCGGACAGATACTTCAGATGTAGGCAAGCAAGAAAGCCTATCTTCAGGCCCAGATCCCGTTCGCTTCATTGATATGCTTCGGAAATAGCCTGGACCTAAAGACAGATGGAGATACAGCGGCTAAAGCCTCGCGATGCAAGGATGAGGACGCATGCTCTTCTACACGTGTACATGTGCGGAAAGTTGTATGCAGGGTCTACGGTTTCGGCCCAAAAGCTCACTTCCCCGGCTTACACGCATCGAGAAGGATGGTGGGCAAGATATCATAGGCGCAAGGCATCTGGAAGCGCGGCCTCTAAGCCATCCTGTTGCAAACGAGGAAGCGGGCATTGTGAGATGGCGGACGGAATCGGGTTTTCACGGATCTTGTAACGTAAATGGTTGTTCCTCCAATCATTTCCTCTCCTGTCTGGCAAGCTTTCGGGAAAACGGCCTTTCGCGTGAATGCCTTCAGACCCATTATCGCAGGCAGACAAAAATAATGGTAACGCCATGCTTAGTTATCCAATGAGAAGAACAGGATACGTGGAGAAGGATGAAGCCAAGCTTCACCCCGGAACATGATTTAACAGATGGAAGAGAGGGGTAAGCCTCGGTATTGCAGTATGCTCGGAAACGAAGTCCTACGCTAGATGAGGGTGACTGGGTGCCGAACAACAGGTGTACTGGGGGATCGTGTGATGGGAAACAGCAAGCCGGGAATGACAACGAACACTGTGAAGCGTGGTCATTCGAACTTGATTGGCGAGCATAGTGGTAGGTTTACGGGTTTTACCTCGACGCCGAGATTTGGCTCATATGTAGCTAAGTGCCTAGCAATAAAACCAGTCGTTGGCCCTGAAGAATTGGTTTCTTTCATGAATTCTTTCTTTCTTATGTTCATACAGAAATTTCTTTTGACCCACTGCCTTCCTCGAAATGTCCAACATAGAGGTTTTGATCAACACTCTGGCCACTGATGCTGCTGTCATCGAGGAGCCTAACGGCACAATTTCCTCGGTGGCAGGCATCTTCCCAAAGGCAGATTTTCTTTGGTCATTGATCAATTTAGGCGAGACTAATTGTGGCGACTTGGCTCGTCGCCTGTTTTTTATTTGGACAGGCTACGTTGTTGTACGATGTATTTACAACCTCTACTTCCATCCTCTTTCTAAGATCCCCGGTCCATGGCTAGCTGCTATGACGCCGCTCTGCGACTTTTGGTACGATGCCGTAAAGAACGGCAACTACCTTTGGGAGATCCAGAAGATGCATGAGAAATACGGTAAGACCGATCCATTTCACTACTCTTACCAGCAGACGTCATCGGGCGGTCTCTTGCACAGATTGCTGATTGTTATTGATATAGGCCCAATTGTTCGCATCAACCCCAACGAAGTTCACATTGATGACCCAGAATACTATCAAAACGTTTATGTCGGCGGCACTCATCGCATCAACAAGGACTCGTCTACCGTAGCCGGTTTTGGTGTCCCTGCATCCGTAGCAGCCACCGTGAACCACGCCCAGCACCGTTCACGCCGCGGCTATATGAACCCCTACTTCGCAAAGCGGTCCATCGTTTCCATGGAGCCCCAGATTCATGAACGTATCACGGCCATGCTCAACCGCCTCGATGGTGCTCGCAAGGACGGCACCAAAATCTCGCTGGACCTCGCGTTTTCCGCCATGACGGCAGACATTATCACCCAACGCTTCTTTGGCTACCACTACGACTACCTCAGCATCCCCAGCCTGGTTTCGCCCATTCGTGAGGCCTTCAAGGGTGTTTCGGAAATCTTTCACTGGACTCGCTTCGTGCCGTGGGCCATTAGATACCTCAAGAAGCTGCCCATCCCAGTTATCCGTCTCATTCTACCACCCGTCGCGGAACTCCTGGTTCTACAAGAAGACATTAAAATCAACATCAAGAACAAGCTCGCTAGCGAGAACAATAGTCCTCAGTCCAAGTCAATCATAATTGAGGCCCTCGGCGACTCGCACGTCCCTGCACAGGAACGCACCATGGAGCGTCTTGTAGATGAAGGGCAGGTCATTATATTCGCTGGAACAGAGACATCATCAAGATCGCTTGCTGTTGGCATGTTTTACCTGCTCGCCAACAAATCTCTTGTCAACAGAGCCCTCGCTGAGCTCTCCAGAGTGGACCACATTCCCGACGAAGAGCTCACAATGAAGGATCTCGAGACACTGCCCTTCATGGTACATTTACTTCCCTGTTCACTGATGGCGCACGCAGCCGAAGAATTTCCGTCAACTAACCGAAGTCTTAGACTGGCATTGTGAAAGAAGCTATCCGCCTCTCTTACGGACCCATCACCCGTCTTCCAAGGGTCTTCACCCACGAGACGCTACAGTACAAGGACCATGCCATTCCTCCTGGTGTAAGTGCTTATATTACCTTTCTGGGCTTGCGAGCACATTTTCTAAGATGAATTACAGACGCCTGTAAGTCAGTCGACGTATTTTGTGCACACGAATCCCAAGTGCTTCGTGGACCCCTTCACCTTCAACCCAGACCGCTGGGTAGAGGCAGCCAAGGCAGGGTTTCCTCTGGAGAGGTACCTCACGAGTTTCACCAAGGGGTCCCGTCAGTGCCTCGGCATCGGGTTAGTAAAAGCATCCATTAATCCTGTCTTCCGTCGCATAATTCTAATGACCACCGATATCCAGCTTAGCTCACGCCGAGCTATATCTGACATTTACCCGCGTTCTTCGTAACTTCGATATGGATTTGGTGAACACTTCGATTGCAGACGTTCAGGTCCATAACGTCTTGATCATTGGGCAACCCAAGCTCGAGAAGGATAAGGGCGAAGGACAGGGTGAAGTCGAGGTGATGGTTACACGCAAGCTAAGGCCCTAAGATAATGTTGGTTCCGCGGAGGTGTGGATGTCTGATCTTTCCAAACGATGTTTGGGACACTCCCTGAGGACCAGGAAAACTGGCAGAAGCTCTGATATGACAACGCAGAAACTGTACAGCGTTTTTGATTTTTTAGATTGCTGTCTCAATTTAGTTGTCCCGGTCGCTTTCTTTCGTCGATATTGTTTCCTCGTGCTCCTAGGCTTGCAAAGTAGGTTCGAGGTGGATTGAACTTCCAATAAGTTGTAATTTGATGATGTATTGCTAAACATGACTCCCCGTCAGAGTATTTGACCGAATAAATAATAGTAAATTGAGCTTAAACTGCAATAAAGAGGGAAAACCAAACTTGTGGTGATACTCCAAGCATAGAGTCCCCAAAAGCCGTACGCGAGTAGCTTGAACTTGCACAAGACCACCAAGGGAATTTTCAGGGTCAACCTCTGTGAGAAAACAATACCATATATGTGACAGCTAATGAGACCCAAGTACATTCGCTCGGAATTTTAAAAATTTATAAAGCCCCAGATCAGGTAACCATGATCCCCATGGGAATGACTAGATATACTCCTGCGGCCAAAACTTCTTTGCCCACTTTGATACAGCACCCACAGTGTTGCTGGCATTGATAGACGTCTTCGGAACTAGTGGTGTCGCGACTTGGACTACCTCCTCAACGCTATGATCCTCAACAAGGTCAGCAACAGGAGGGTAAGCCCACTCCTTGGGGTCAACAGCCCCAACGAGGTCACCGGCAGCCTGGTACCGACGGAACTCCTTCGCCGTGGCAGTATCACCGCCAGCAGCGCTAGTGACGAGTTCACGGAGACGGTAGCGAGGATCGCTCAGGTGCCAGGTGACATAGCCCTGGCAGAAAGTCTGGAGGGTGTCAGCGATGCTTGGATCCTTGTCGGCAAAGACCTCGACGATCTGCTCCGAGCAGCGGATTGTGTCGCGCGTGAGCTTGTTCAGCGCCTCGGCCAGCGTGATGCGGTCACACTTGGCGTAGTTGTTGACGAGTGACGTCTGGTCACGCGGCTCATCGAATTCTAGAGGGTTACAACTCATTTAGCGAGTGATCTTGGCAAACCGCTTGTGCCTTGGCGAGCACGCAGGCAACGAATCGGATCGCACGGGGAAGAAACAAGCTTATAGTTTAAGCTTCACGCTTCTACCCCGCCGACGATAATCGGCTCTGCATCAATGCCAAGCTTGCACTGGAGATGAGATAAGGTAATGAGCGTACCTTTGTAGAATGATAGTAGGTCGTTCACAAACACCATCCAGTTCTCCATTTGAGAGATGACAGACGTAATCTCAGTAAAGAGCACCTTTTCGTCAAATTGGGCTTTGGGAAAGATGGATGCCCCGACGCAGTGGCCGAGGCCGTTCATGCGACGCAGAAAGCCGGGGAAGTCGTATGAGCCCGGAAAGCCCTGGAAGTTATGTTGCTCAATCCAGCAACCCTGGAAAATTGTGGACCGTTTAGCTTCCTGCGCAGGAACATGAGAATTGTGGGCATTCCAAGGCTCCTTACAGTCGGTCGTGCTCCGGACCAGGTTTAAACCACAGTATGGACCGTAATGGCTAAGCACAGTTGGGAACTGCGCGTTCACCATCTGCCACCAAGGGTGCCGTTGAGGCTTCCCGGCAAGGAGATCCTGGTAGAATGACTGCATAGTTGCGTCGGGGTCATCTTGGCTGTCATCAAGCACTAGCATATAAGTGTAGTGGATGCTCAAATCTGCCATAACCTCGGGATCGACGCGCACCCAGGCATAGACTACCATAGCCACAATTGTCTGAAGAGATGCCTGGAGACGTCTTGGGCTGGCTTTGATTAGACGCTGCTGCGTCGGCTGGGCAAAGTGCTTCGCCGCCTTAGCGTAAGCATAGTGTAGGTTACGGACCCTCTCCTGGTGTGTGTAATTGGTGTCGTTATAGTTGATAATGCTCAGAAAGCTCACGACAGCATCAAGATAACAGTCTGTGGGAAAGCTTGCGGTGTCCATGATGTTTGCTGCTGCCTCCGTTTTGTGACAAAATGGGAAATGACTCAATGAGGGGGAATGGATGAAGAGAGGCTAAAGCTTCAAGACAACTTGGAACATGAGGAAATGAGAAGACTTAAAGGGCAAATATGGCATCGAGAAGTTGCCTATTTGGCTTGCAGTCAGATGAGATGCTACTGTTACTCTTCACAATCTCGCACGTCTGGTATTGCCTGGCCCCGTGAAGAAAATGCCCAACACGTATCATGCAGCGCCAATATCTTTCTTACACCTGCATAACAACGTTTTCCTTCGCATAAAGCTGAAGTACGCAAACAGGAAAGGTCCATAAGGATTTCGCCGTGTTGAAGCTGATTGTTCTGCCCCCTCACGGGTTCTAGGCCGTGTCTTTAGCTACAAGGGGGTCAGACTTTGTCGTATTTGGTCAAGTTTGACATCTGTACGTCTTAGATGGATGGCTAGACGACAACATCATCAGCTGGATTTGGAGGACATTGCGAGCGCGCGTGAAGAAAATACCCCGGTCAAATCACAAAAGGGCCCGACGAGATGGAGCGATACGTTGATGTATGTACAGATACATCAAGTTACAACTGCGCGAAGAAGAGGGCAAATCCTGCTAATTCTGCAAGGGTTTCGGATCTCATACACATGGCTACGTCTATTTCGGCCTAAAGGTCACTTCGTAAGCCTGCAAGCCCCTCAATCACCGCTGTTGCGGTCTGTTTGCGGCACAAAACATGAGATACGATATGGGCTTGAGAAGCAAGACCTAGGCCAAGAGGCCTGGGGGCGAGACTCGTAAACTGCATCATGCTATCCATGTTTGCACTCGGGCTCATACTACGTGTCTAGTTAACGGGCAATCTGGGCCTACTTTCTCTTTCATTTGCCGCATATGAACATGCAGGAAACCACTTGGTGTTGTGGCCTCCCCCATACTAGGACACCGGAGAGTTACGCTGCATACAGGGGACTTATGTTGTAGACTCCTCGTGGACTTCTGCACCAGCTCCTTCAAGTCATCCTTCTGATTCAATGCAACTTTATCAGTACACACCGTAATCAAAGCGAAGAACACTTACAGGTGGACTCGCAGCCGGCGGAAGTCCACCGCATCAGCCGCAGAGATCCTCTAACGCTCTAGCCGAGGCGGCAACTAGTATAGGCGCCGTGAGTTTCCGAACCCGCTGCTAGTGCATAACATTGAATTAGGGTTAGTAGGCGCAAGGCACTGTTTTCTGTGTGTGCAACATATCGGTGTCTAATACCGAGGAGTCTAGGTGAAATGGATACTCATGCAACGTAGCCCAGGAATCTGCCAATAAAATTGCCACAAAGCCGCTTCTGACCCAGCCGAATCTGATTGCACTGTATTGCGCCATATAATCGCTGGGAATAGTACGGATTGTGTGCGGGGTGGGTGTGCGCATATGTGTGATTACCCCCTGCTACTGATTATGGATACTACGTGAGGTGGATCTTCAGGGACATTCCAAAACGGCAGGCCGTTTACGGGCGTCATTCTCTGTTGCCTTACTTGTCAGTGTGTTACTGAGTAGTGATAAGAAGGGGCGTGGACCGTACGTTTCCACCCATGTATCTCGGAGGCTCTGTTCGCAGATGGGGCTGGACCCTGATGCTCAGGGTCCTTTCCGTATGGGCCCGATAAGAGTCTGGGGTTGAAGACACTCAGGAAATAAGTGCGAAGCTTCAGGGTCCGTCCCACAACCAAAGTACTTTGAGGGCAATGGGAACAGAGACCCGGACCGGAAAACAGGATTCTAGACCTTGGGAGACCTAATCTGGGAGACCGAGTTGGACCGGAGTATGGGGCTATTCCCACAACACTGATTGGCCGTATCAGTGCGACCACCATGATGCGTATTGTTTTAGCCGACGGAATGCAACAGTGCTTGCCAAAAGTACTATAAGCGCAGGCCGTTTGTGAGCAATCCCGGCCAATGTTAACGGCTGTGCCACAACACAGCATCTCGTATCGTACTGAATTGTCGCGATTTCTTTGATTTTCCCCGTCGAACGTCCAGTAAACCATCGTCTGAATGTGCGAATGCCTTGCTTCTAACGCGTTATCCGATGGATTGAAAGGCTTAGTCAGAGATTCTCACAAATATTCGCGATTGAAACGTAAAATGGTACCCTTAGACATCGTAGCTCGTTCTCTACATATCAAAATGAAGAATACTCGTAGAAATGAAAGACAACACCAATAAATCCAGCGAATTTGGACATAGACATAGAGTAACGAACTGTGAAGATTTTGTGAAAGCTGATCGCTGTCCTCAAGTTCATCTTCTCCAAATGCGATGAAGTAGCGTACAACATTGGGTCAAAGTGTGCATGATTGTTCTCAACAACATGGATTCATTCTGAATTTCTGAGGTCATCCTATTATCCTGTCTAGTAAGGCTATTATTTGGCGTGAATCACCACCCGACTCACAGCTCATTTGCTTGAACCTGTTACATCATGACTACAATATGGTGGGATGTGAACTACATGCAAACGTAGAGCCTGTCGCACCGAGTGCAGCATGCAAATCATCTACAGCTCAATCTCCTCCTTGCGGCGGCGAATCACAATTCGTGCATTGTCGTTAGCCGACCAGTACAAAGCCTGGAACGTAGGATCCGTGGGAGCGCCCGGAGCCAGCTTGAAGTCGTACTTCAGAAGGATGTGGCTGAGGGCGATCTTGAGCTCGTTGGCGGCGAAGAAACGGCCCGGGCACGCATGCTTGCCCATGCCGAAGCCCAGGGCATCGGGTGTCGTCGACACGAATTGTGCCGTCTCGAGCCCTTGCTCCTCACGCATGCGCAGGAAGCGGTAGCCGTCAAACTTCTCTGGGTTGGGGTACTTGTCTGCATCCCAAGACTTCGAGGTGGATACCATGAGCTTAGTGCCTTTGGGGATCTTGGTACCGTCATGTAACTTTGTGTCCTTTAGCGCGATACGACGCATGACAGCTGTGGGGGACTATGTTAGTGCCTCAATTTTTGAAATTGGAGAAATGCCCATAGATATGTTCTCTTACCAATGGCTGCGGGCTTCATGCGCTGACTCTCTTTAAGCACACTGTCCATAAGACGCAGCTTGTAAAGGGTAGACTTGCTCCACTTGTTCTCAGACAAGACGATAATGACCTCCTTGCGCATGTCCTCGACCAGCTGGGGGTCCTGGCAGAGATAAATCATGAGCGTGCTCAACGAGTCTGACCCCGAAAAGTTGGCGGCGATGGCCATCATAATCTGGGCAACGGTGGCGTCATAGGGACGGCCGTTGGCCGCGTCCTCCATCCACTGCATCGCATCGAGGTGGCGAACGGGTTCGAGACCCTTTTTCACCCGCTTCTCTTTCTCGCGGCGGCGATTTTGGAGGACCGGATCGACAATGTTGAAAGACGTCTGTAGCTCTTGTCTGATGGCTCGGCACCGGGGCAGATACCAGTAGGCAAGCGGACGCAGGAACTTGGGCCATAAGCGTAGGTCTTGCGCGGCCTGCATTGAGTCCCTGGTGTAGTCGACCGTGACCTGAAGCCAGTCATCATTGCGACAGAGCTCTTCGCCGAGGAAGACTCGGGAAGACAGTTGGGAGACGATCTTGAAAGCGAGAATCTTGAGCGGGATCTCGTGCCATTCTGTCGTTGAACATCAGCATTTTCTCATCCTGATTGCATCACACATCAAGTCGACTAACCTGCTTTATTCGTAAAGTGCTTTTGCAGCGCATGGCTTGCCTCCTCGGAGAGGGGAGTATTGAGTCTGGCAATATCCTGGATGAGGTTGATCTTGACAGCATCATGAAAGATTCTGTCACGGGTTTGTCCTTGGCGAAAAGGAGCAAAACCATCCAGACTGGTGTGCATATCCTACATCAAAATAAGCTTTTTGTCACAGCATCAGTCTTGGCCACAGTTGCTCACCTCCTCCACGTGCTTGCCAAAGTCAAGCGCCTCGTCGTCCTTCATTCCACTGGCATAGTCGGCAGAGAGGAGAAGCTCAACGCCATTCTCAGTTTGCACACGGAACTTGTCGCCAACCTAGCAAAATCTGTAAGTTATACTGTGCGACCCTAGTTTTTCGTTAGTGGGGATTGATAGCTTACATTGAGAAGGGCATGATCAAGAATCTCCTTGGCATGGTTGCAGAACGTTTTTCGCTGCTCCTTGGCCGTCAACTGCCACCATTTCTTGCCGTTGACAAGAGGGAGACTGGATATGTCATTCTCGTCCTTTCGTGCGAAAATAGTGAGTCTTCCAAGGATTGCACTCAAGGCCAGTGCAATTACAACACCAAGACCCTCGGGCGAGAAAAACTGCTGCAGAGCAGCAAGGAGCGCGTCTTCTATCATGATGCTTCTTTGACTTCAAACGTGTAAAAAGATTATCTACAGAGACGGAGATCTCATAGAGGGCAAAGGTGGTTGGGAGATTGAAGTAAGGAAATGATTATGTTCTAGTTCGGGACCGAGTCACCTTGCGGTGAGCTTGCCATCCAGATTGATGAGTGAAATTACACGAGTGATCTTGCTATGCAATCGCGGTTTGCCAATCAAAGGCATTGACAAACGAGCTCACTATCATCGCCACTTCACATATCACGAACCTGAAGCTCTGTAGCCTGAATGCACTTGATGCACGGAGGAACTTTTGCTTCGAGGTCCCGGCCAGAGCTGCGCAATCTCACGACAGAATCTTACACCCCATGTGAGACGTGTTCCAGGCCACATCTCAAGTTCGCCCGAAATGGCTGCTTGCTTCAGATGTCGTGATAACACAAGATATCAGTCACTTTGGAGCCTCAGCAAACCCATGCTTTCCTGATCTTGCGGTTCAATTGTCGCGGCGGGACAAGAAATTCATCCGATTTTCACGCCCGTATGGCGAAGGAATCAGGGATCAGGGTCAGGGGTTCAGGGCTGTAGGACCCTGCATGCCTAGTTGCATCCCAGTGGGTGTGTGATCGTAAGCTGCATGAAACCCC